AGTTTCCTTGTCCTCTAAGGACAAGGAGAGGGGTAGCAAACAAGTCCTAATTGGACTTATGGTTGTTGCTTTTTTATCCTCCGATGATGAGTTATTTTGCATGTGGACTTTTGATCATTATCTTTAAAACATTCATCATTATCCAATAAGGTTGATGTTTATCCTTCCACCAAAATATCTTAAGGCTTTTAATTAAACCTTAATGGACCAAAACCAAGTTAGCCTAATTAATTTATTTGGACTATCCAAATAAATAATCTTAGATTATTTTAGGCGGATCTACATTAAAAAATAATTTTTCAAAATATCCTTTAACCTAAATTAAGAAAACTCCTTTCCTTTTAGGTTCTTCATTTTCAAATTTGAAACTAACTTTTAAATTAGGAAATCGATTTCTAAAATAGGAAAATTTTCATTTTAGGAAACTTTCCATTTTAGGAAACTTATACTTGAAAACTTTTTTCAATATTTTTGCTTCTCATTTATAATATGAATACTTAAACTTATACATGTGACTCGATAGGCTCCGAGATATGTTGGCATTATATCAAGAACAAAAGACTCCTCTTTTATCTCTTGATACATAAATCAAGATTGGCCTCTAATAAAACATCATGACCACCCCATTTCCTATGAGGATTAGTTAATCCATTATTACCTTTCACGAGCATATTTACCATACAATTAAGTCCTCATGTCAACTTATCATAGTGTGATCTCGAACTTGGTCATAAGTCTTGTTCAATTATGATCACATGAGTTTTCTTCGATTCCCAAATGTCTTAGCTCTTAAAGTAAACCAATTATGCTCTATTGATACGCTCCTGCTATGGCTATAGATTTCTTGAGTAGACATTTATCGAAGTGCAATGTGATAACTCCTTTAGCATATAAGGAATGACATGTCCTATCTTAGTCATACATCTACCTCTATTAGATTCCTAGTGCACCCAATGAATCATCCATATGTAACCCTTTAATGGGTCCATCGAAATGAGTGCAAAATGCATAATTCCTCTAATGAGACAACCATAATGACTTCAAGTCTAAGGACTATTTATATCCATCTTATATGAGATTCCCATAGACTAAAACCAAATAGGTTCTCATGGTGAGTCATATCCGGTGATATGTTCTCTAATATGAATCATCTAAGTGCTTGGTTTGACATCATCATGCCAATAGATGTGAGATCTCTTATCACTATCATATAGCATGAGCATAGTACTCCTAAGTTATCCACATATAGTCAATGTCCATTCTTGACAATGTTATGACTTGAGACGTTTAATGATACTATTTATGTGCATTAGTGTTTGTCTCGCATCTTTTTATCAATCACTATTGCAAATACATATCATAAGGACTTCTATCTAATTCTACTGAATTTATCAACATATAAACATAAAAATTAATAGAATAACTTCTTTATTATTATTAAAATAAATAATGTAATAATACATTAACTCAAGCCCATCCAAACATGGCTGGATCTTGGGCACCTACACTAACACTTATATAGTAAGATTTTTCAATATAATTTTTTATTTTATTTTTTATTCAATATAATTTTTTATTTTTAGATAATAAAAATAAATAATATGAAAAGATTGATAAAGATAAAATATTTTTTAAAAAAAATAATATTAAATTAACTATGTTGAATACTAGTTAAAACACTAATTAATTAGTTTTTTAAATAAGATAAACTATTCAATTCATTTTTGTAAAACTAGAGGCACTAATTTATAATTTATTCCAAATTTGTGCTTCTTAGTTTGACACATGTTACTTGCAATATTAGCAACTTGATCTCTTCAAAGAATTTTAGATATTTTCAAATATATAATTGCTTCATTTCTCTTTCAAAGACATCATAGCAGATACAAAAAAAAAAAGTAAAAAATGGAATAAAATTATAAGGTTTTCAAATTCCTTCAACTAAATTGTACGATACTGTACAATCTCGGAGTGATTAAAACTATTCGTGATTTCAACTTCCAAGGAAATTATGAAATATACATATATCGGAAAATATAAATTGTCTTTTTTTTTGTTTATTTCAAAATTTTGTGTTTTAATATTTTTTTTTATGTTAATGGGTAAAAAATGGGTATCAATAGGGTAAAAAGAGATAACCATATTCATAAATAAGTTATCCATTAACAAAAATAAATAATATTATTTTATCCATATTTAGCCCATTACCTATTAGAATATTTTGAAATGGTAATTAACATACAAGTCGAACAGGGTACCTTTTTTGTACTAGGCTCATTGCCATCCTTAGTTTTAACCTCTAAAATTTCATCCTCTTCTTCACATAGCTATGAGTTTGACTCTAAAATTATTTTCCATCTATTATTTTCAACGTAGGAGTAGATTTTTAGGGGAAAAAAAAACCATGGATGAGAGAGTTTTTACCTTTTGAAGCATTTCTTGGCGCAAATGAATAATAACTTTGTAGGGATGGTTTGAGGGCTAGTTTGCTTTCCTTTTCCTTACTTTCCCTTTCAAAACTCAAGTTACAAATTTTGCATCAACTCTAGGGTTTCTTCACTAGTGTCTCCTCTCGTTTTTTTTTTTTTTATCCGTTCTTGTGACTAGTGAAAAACACACATTAGCTTTTAGTTTTTTAGTTCCTAAAACTAAAACCTTTGTCTTAGTAACACCTCAAAGGAACCCTAAAACCCTTTTCTTTTTCCTCTCGGTTTTCTCCTCATTTGTTAGCCTCCATTGTTTCTATTAATATAGAATTTTTGTTTTGATCCTCACCCTCCATTATGCTTGAAATGATCCTAGCCTTTCATTTTTCTTGCTTACCAAGCTCCTCTCTCCTTCTATTTTCTTGCTAATGTCTCTTTATTTTCTTTGTTTTGGTGCGAGTAGTAGCGAGAAAAAGGGAAGGGACTTTAGGTAGATTAGCATTTTTGTTTGGGTGTTGGTGAGGTAGAGGGTACAAGGACAACTAGATGAGAGGGTATGTTGTGACAAAAATGAGAAAAAAAAAAAAACATTTGGCTCCTTTGCTATGTTGTGTCAAAAAACATGCAGGGGAGGAGAAGATGAATGGTGCTTGATACTTTAAATAGGGTAGTTGCCAAACTATTAGTTTGGTCCCATCGTCCATTAGTCTCCTTTAATTCAATCCCTCTAAATTCCAATTGTTTTTTTTCAATTCGATTCCTCAAGTAGGTTATTTTGGTCCTTTTTAGTTTTATTTTTTTTTCAATTAACTCTCAATTTCTTCCTGATTGATCTCCAAGATTTTTGATATTTGTGAATTTGTCCATAATATTTTTCAAATCAATTACAATTGAGTCCTTAAAATGTGAAATTAACTTTTTCTTTGGTATTGTTCTTAATTTTCTTTTCTTCTATATATATATATTTTAATTTATGGTAAAATGATAAAAGAGATAGAATAAAATGATAGAGGGGAAATTGATCAAATTCTTTTTGGTATTTTCGTTTCTCCTTTTCTTTTTTTGCTTCATTTTCATTTTTCATTTTTTTTTTAATTTTAGAATGATAAATTCTAACAAAGTTAAAGGTTAATGATAAAACATGACTAATAATAAAAAACAAATTTAGGGACACCTATATTATATAATTAAAAATAGAAAATAGAAGATAAAATAAATTACTAAAAATAAAGGTAATTTCTAAAATAATTATGGGGGTCTAAAAAGTGAGTTATCCCAATGACTTTCCTTTCATAAAATTTGAGATTAATTTTATCAACTTAACTAATTTTTTTTTCTAAATTGTAGTTAGATTACTATTAAAAGAAAAAAAAATTAAAAATTTATTAAGGAATAGATCTTTGCGTATTACAAAAAAGTTAACTCTTCAACTTAAATTTTATGAATTTTAGTTGAGCAATCTTAAATTTTGATTGAAACATTAGTGTAAACATTTGATGAAGAGGATTCCTGTAATGAAATTTCAAATGAATTTTGATCAATTAATAAAAAAAAATTATCTAATTTTTTATACCTTAATATCAGGGGCATAATTTCCATTCAAATAAAACTTTAGTGGTTAAGAAAATTAGCTTTCCTCCTCAGATTTGGAATGAAATGCTACACAGTTTAATTATGGAGTAAAATATTCTTTCATGTAATACATATACACCAATAGAAATTTTTTAGAGATTAAAATTCCATTTATGAGATTTCAAATTGATTTTGAGCTGATTTATTTATCTAATTTTTTCTTTCATTTTAATATTTTGGGAAAAATTCTCATTGAAAATTTATAACATCGTATAATTTTAATGATTAATCAAATCAACTTTTTTTTTCCTTAAATTTAGGAATCAAATGTTCAAAACTTTAAATTTTCTACAATAAACATTTTTTTTAATATAATATACATGACATGAATTTTATGAAATTATGAGATTGAGTTAATTTGTTTTTAACACAAATCAATTAAAAATATCAATAACATTTTTTATAAGCGGACTTGCACCATATTCATTGGTTAATCCCTCACAAGTGACAAACCCCCCTGTTGGCTGTCCCCGAAACAAGAAATAAGCATCTTTTAGCCGCCTCCCCAAATTTCCATAACAAAATTGGCTCGGAGATTCTCCTCTCTCAAAACGATCAAGAGATAGATCCGTGAAGAATTTATAATCTTGCAACGGTGAGCTAATAATTACTTCATTATATTTCATAGATCTGTCTGCTTATTATTTCTTATAGATCTGTCAGTTTTTATGAGTTTTGTTTTTTCTCTTTTCTGTGGTGTAATTATTATGGCCATACTGGAACAAGAAGAATAGATTGTATGAGCAAAAATAAGATGTGGGTAGGTTTTAATAATTTTTGGAGAATAGGAGATTTTTAATACATTTTATTGGTGTCTGGATTCGCTGTCAGATTTGATTGTTTTGGTTTTCATATCATGTTTTCTTTCATTTGATAGGAGATTTTCTGATAATTTTCGCTCCATATATTGTTGTTGCTGTTAGTATTGGTTTGCTGGCTGAAATGGCTGACAACAACAACAATTCTGCATCTGGGTCTTCGAACGAAAACCCAGATCATGATTCTGAGACAAACCCAATTCTCAAGGAAGATGGCTCACTCTCAACTATAGTCCGTAGGTTTCAGGACTCGATTTCTTCAGGCAAGACACACAAGTTTTGGGAAAGCCAACCTGTTGGTCAATTCAAAGACATTGGCGACTCAAGTTTGCCTGAGGGTCCTATTGAGCCTCCAACCCCACTCTCTGAAGTTAAACAAGAACCATACAATCTCCCTAGTCAGTATGAATGGACCACCTGTGACATGGAAGCTGATGAGACTTGCAATGAGGTGTACAATCTCTTGAAGAACAACTATGTTGAGGATGACGAGAACATGTTTAGGTTTAATTACTCACAGGAGTTTCTTGCATGGGCTTTGCGCCCCCTGGTTATTATCGAAGCTGGCACATTGGGGTTCGTGCCAAAGCTTCGAAGAAGCTTGTTGCTTTTATAACGGGTGTTCCTGCAAGAATTCGGGTGCATGATGAAGTTGTGAAAATGGCTGAGATCAATTTCTTATGTGTTCATAAGAAGCTTCGCTCTAAGAGACTTGCCCCTGTTATGATTAAGGAGGTTACAAGGAGGGTTCATTTAGAGAATATTTGGCAAGCTGCTTATACTGCTGGAGTGGTTCTTCCAACACCAATAACAACCTGTCAGTATTGGCACAGGTCTTTGAACCCGAAGAAGCTTATTGATGTTGGCTTTTCGAGGCTTGGTGCGAGGATGACAATGAGCCGGACAATAAAACTTTACAAGTTACCAGATTCCCCTGCTACCCCTGGATTTAGAAAAATGGAACTCCGTGATATACCTGCTGTTACAAGGTTGCTAAGAAATTACTTGAGCCAGTTTGTTGTTGCACCGGATTTTGATGATAATGATGTGGAGCACTGGCTTCTTCCAACTGAGAATGTGGTTGATAGCTACTTGGTTGAGAGCCCAGAGACTCATGAGATCACTGACTTCTGCAGCTTCTATACTCTTCCATCCTCTATCCTTGGCAACCAGAATTACTCAACATTGAAAGCTGCCTATTCATATTACAATGTTAGCACGAAGACTCCATTGCTTCAGTTAATGAATGATGCACTGATTGTTGCCAAGCAGAAGGATTTTGATGTTTTTAATGCATTGGATGTCATGCATAATGAGTCTTTCCTGAAAGAACTGAAATTTGGACCAGGTGATGGGCAACTACACTACTATCTTTACAATTACCGCATGCGGCATGCCATGAGACCTTCGGAATTAGGGCTTGTACTGTTGTAGATTGAAATGTCTGAAAGTTGGTTCTGTAATTTCTGACTGACTGGGTATGTGGTTGCACTCATTTTTGTTTTTTCTCAGCATCAGGATCAATTACGCAATGTATTTCAGAAAACAGGTTTTGTGTTTTTATAAGCCTTAGTTGTTGAGGCAATTGCAATGTCATTCACTATTCAAATTGTTCTCTGGACACAAATAATGTTGAGAGCTTGAATAACCCTTTTTTATTTCAAGTTCCTGTTGTTAACTTGTTTTTTCCTGCATGCCACAGGCTCTAGTTTGGTTTCTTGCCTTCTTGTCACCATTATTATTCACGCCGGCATTTGAAGGCCTTGTTACATTTTAAGGTCACAAGAGGTCTTTTCATTATCTATTGCTATATCTGATCTTCTTCAGCATTAACTAATTTTGCCATGGTAGGTTGCTTTCCAATTTTTTTTATCTCCCATCTCCCTCACGACAGTGTTAGATCTAAAAAGTCTGAAGACAGTTGGAGAGTAAATGTTGCTCAACATTAAAAGTCAATCAGCAACTTCAAGATGGAGTTGAAGTTGGAAATCACTCTTTTGCTATGGCCTGGGACTGGGAGGCAGTCTACTTCGATGTTTTTGATAAATGGAAGGTGGTATAAAATGAGATTCTGAGTGGTAATGCACTTTAGGATGATGGCCAGCAATACCATCTCTAATGGCTTCCTCAGACTTGGCGACCTATCTGACTAGTTGCAACAGTTGACTGATAAAGCAACAAGTTTACCGGTCCATCGATAGAGCTCGATGTTTCTGCTCGCTTATGTTTTAGAAACAGAGTTCTAACATGTTTTGATGGTCTCTCTGTCCAAATTTCAGAGATTTTATTTAATTCTTCATCCAGCGACTCATGTTGTGAAAAGAAAGCATCATGGTCCAAGAATGGTTCGCCAGTGACACGTCCACCGGATGAAAGCGTGAAATTCCAGTTTCAGTTCACATAAAATCTAACTGACAAGGAAGGCAATTAACTTCATTGCATTACGGGGTTAAAAACAAGAACCCTTTGTTGCTGGATACTGGCAACTGACGAGCATCATCAATGTTCCTAACTCCTAAGCTCCAACCCCATGTCAGGGTGATGAAATACTGGAATAAAATGCCATCAAATAGAAAATATTCCACTGTCATATTTCTAAACTAACCCATGAAAAAACTGTTTTTCGGTTCCTAGGCTGGAATTGCCATATCCCGTACTTGGAAATAGTAATGCATCTTTTTCTAAACAATGTCATCATCACTCGCCATTCTGACAATGTCAGTTATTAACAAATGGTAGAGCATCTAAGTAAAGCCTAAAGGGCATAATCAAAGCTCAGGCTTTCTTCTCATTAGACTAAATTTGCACAATTTGCCTAGCAAATCAAGAGAATTTTTGGTTTGAGAATTAAGCAAGAGAGATTTAAGCAGGAAGGAGGGGGGAACATATTTCTGTTCCGCTACTAGATGGCATCTTTGTCAAATGAAAGAAACAAGAGCTCTAAGGACATCAAATGAATTCTGTTCATCTACAATATCTATTGCGAATAACTCATCTGAGAAATTACACTATAATTGCTACCACAAAACCAGCCTAAGGATTTAACTTGGTCATGCCTGAAAAAAAAATGAGGAAGGAAGAAACAGGCACTATTTACATGCATTCTAGTTGTTGGAACATCTCCAGCCCATCATTTTTAAAAGGTTTGAGCTCGTATCTCATCCCATGATCACAATCTCACCTCGTGAGCCTGCCAAATTAAGAATATGGATATGAATGAATAGAAAGTGGAAAAACAGTGACAGAAGAAGCAAGGATGAATTTAATGAATGAATAGAAAGTGGAAAAAACAGTGACAGAAGCAGCAAGGATGAATTTACATTTCTCAAGTATCTCGTTGGCCAACTGCAGTAGTGAATCTGCGTCTTCAGCCATCTTTGAAACCCTCTCTGACTCCTTAACTGCCTCAGTTGCAACAAATGACTTGTTTTCTGCTTCTGCAACCCTATATGCAGCCTCACTTGCTGCTTCTTCAACAGTATCACCAGAATTTATATGACCAATGTTCAGTGCAGTCTTAGGACGCACCTCTTTCTTAGGAGTTGGTGTTTTTGTCCCAAATGAAGAAACTTTCTTTATCTTGTAGCAATTTTGGATCTGCATTTAATTCATTAAAACTTAAAACCATTCAGTATGTCCTTCCAATATCTATTCAATATAACTTTTGTGCAATATGTTCTCATAGGAACAAATAATTCCCTTCCACAACTAAAAGAAATATTCCCTTTTCTGTTTCTTCTCTCAATGCCATGGTCTTTCCTTCAGTTCGTTGAGGGACAAAAGAAAAAACAAAGATTGGGCTCTCTATGCAGCCATCATTAGTGGCAAGTCTACAAAAATCTATTACCAAGGATGTTATAAAGAAGTAACAGACTTTTTACAAACCCACACATGAATCTTTGAGGACTACATTAACTTCCCACAACATGCTCCATTCTCTCCGTTTTTATTTTTTGCGTGGTGTGGCGGTGATGGTCTTTGAGGACTACACTAACTTCCCACAATATGCTCCTCAATCCTAATTCTCATCCAAGCAATAAAGGTAGGAAAAAAAGGAGAGAAGCAAAACAAAATAGAGATCACTAAATTTGATTCAACATTTTAAATTTAACAAAAATTATTTAGCAGTGTGACAAGCGAAAGATCAGTATTAGGGATATCATCATGAGTAAAGAATTTCCATTGGAAAGATAGAGATCGCTCACCTTTTCAAGTTTTTCCTGTGCTACCAGCCTCCTCAACCTTGAACTTAATTGCCTCCTAAAATTTTGTGGTAACTCTTGCCTTTGCTGCACGAATTATCAAGGAAAAACATAAACCATCATATTTCATAAAACTCAATAGAGCTGGAAAAGCCATCAATAATAAATAAGAAATAATAAGAAACAAATTATGGTTGATTTACATAATTTTATGTTTTCATAATCAGTCACTAATTTCATCCGGATGACAACAGAAATTTTGTTGGGTCTATTACATGGTTTCTTTTCTTTTCTTTTCTTTCCTTTTCCTTTCCTATTTTCAGGATGGCAACCTCTGAGGCATTGCCAGGGGTGTGGGATATGGATGAAGGGACTTGCTCCTGATACTCTTACAAATCAGAGGACTATCACCTTGGACAGAACATTTTTTTGTCCTCTGCTCTCCATTCACAACATGTTAGATGAGAGAGATTTCAAGGGTTTTGTTTATTTGTTACTGTGCTCTAGGAGTTAAACATATGACATAGTTAGCAAGCCCCATTCTAGATCAAATCTCAAAAAGAATAAGAAAACAAATCTATACACACCACATATATTCTACATCATGTCAAACAACATAATCGACATAGGTAACAGAATCACAGAGATTATTGTTCCATATGGCTAAGTTGCTGGTAAACCTGTGACTATCAGATACAAAATGAAAAAACATTTTCCTGATATGAAACTCGTTTAGACCTCAATGTAGCTAATGATTGCACTAGTGTCTGCTCCACTTGGCTCATTCAAGGCTGAAATTGCTTCAAAAATCATGGAATTGTACCTGCCAAATTAAGTAAATCAGCCAAAGATCATTGTATCGCTGAAATTTCTCAAAGCGCCAGCATTATATGTTACTTCACACCAAGGAACTACAATACTTGACATACGATTCATACAATTTATGCCATAATATTACACTTAAAAGAATTCACAAAACCATCTTGTTCCATTTTCTTTTTTTAAAAAAAAAACAAAGGCATTTAAAGCACATACTTAGGAGCAGTTTTCGAATCTGCTGCGGCTTCTAAAGAATCATCGACAATGACATCGGCCGCAGGAGCAACAACAATAGAAGTTTGAGGATTGGACAGTGGAGTGGAAGCAGCGGCAGCAGCATCAGGATGGGGTTTCACTTTTGGCGTCCGTGACTTGTCCTTAACGCTTTGGCTACCAGCACTAACAGTCATATTCCTCCATTTATCCTATTAATTAATATAGTTGTTATTTATATAATATCATCAAATCATACAACAATCACAAAATCGTTAAATATAGAGAAAGAACAATTAAAAAACAAAAACAAGAAAAACCTTGAGATCGATATTAGAGCGAGAGAAAAGGTAAGGATTGAACTCAGGGTCCCTCTGTATGTTTTTCCATTTTCCAGTACCGTGTTTGGCTACTCCTGCTCTTAACGCTTCTTCTTCCTCTGATGTCCACTTCTGCTTTGGATTTCCCATCTCTCTGTTTCTTTTCTTTAAATATTTCTGATTTTTAGGGTTTGTTTATGCGTTCATGCGATATGTATGATCTTCTTCTTCTTCTTCTTCTTCTTCTCCTCTGTTACAAGGCAAGGAAAGACATTAGACAACCGTTGATTTGTCAGCCCTAATTTGCATTTGAGAACGAAAATAACCCTACGGTGTCGTTCGTTTCCTTGTTTGACTGACATGCGTAAAAAAGAGCAAAAAAAGAATAGCGAAACGACGTCGTCTGCACAATCAGGACCTGTTCTCGATAGGAGCAGCTTTGCGCACGAAATTTGCCAATATAAAACATCCACGTGGCGGTAATAAGGATGACAGTTGAACAGATGAGCAAGGTAAACACCAGAGAAACCAGCCTTCCCTATCTTCAAAGAGGAGGAAAAAAAAAAAAGAGGAAAGAACTTGGGAAAATTCAAACCGTTTTGTTCAACAAAGTCAGTCATCACATACATTATTGCCGTTTCGACAAAGACTCCGAGAGACTAGAAAGAACAATACAAAAAAGAAGTCTCCTAGCCAAGACCGTCGTCGCTCACATTATCTTCCATTTATTTATTTTCTCTCTCTTTCTACCGAAACAACTGCAATATAGCGTGATTGATTTCGAACATAAAGCAGTAGCAGGAATAAGCAAGAAAAGAGAGCGGAAAGAAATGGAGTGCGTAGGAGGTGGAAGTTTTGGAGCAATGGCAGCAGTACTGTTTTCATGTCCGTGTCCTGCTTGGAGGTCCAAAACAGTAGGAGTAGCAGCACAGCCGCAGAGTAGTATTACAACAAAACAGAGTGTTTTTAATAGCAATAAACGGTACCGTTTATATCAAGTGAGATCAGCAGGCAGAGGCAGTAGCAGGGGGATGAGTGATAGTTGCAGTAGTGTAGCTGTTAAAGAAGCTGCTAATTTTGCTGATGAAGAAGATTATATAAAAGCCGGTGGTTCTGAACTTGTTTTTGTACAAATGCAGCAAAACAAGGCCATGTCCCAGCAATCTAAACTCACCGATGCGGTAGACTACTATTTATTTATTTATTACTTTCGTGTAATTAACATATTAATTTCTTGTTAATTACGTTATATTATATATGTGGTTGCAGTTACCTCCCATCACAATCGGAGAAGGTGAAGTACTGGATTTGGTGGTGATTGGTTGTGGTCCGGCAGGGTTAGCACTAGCTGCAGAATCAGCTAAGTTGGGATTGAGTGTTGGACTTATTGGTCCTGATCTTCCTTTTACTAATAATTATGGTGTTTGGGAGGATGAATTTAAAGGTATTTATTTAATTCAATTACAAAGACTATGTGTGTCTAATTTAAACTAGATGGAATATTAAACTATGTTAACTTTGTTTGTTACTTGCCTAAGCTTGATTGAATATCAAAAATGGATTTCTTTTTTATTACTTCAAGCAACTCTGCAAGCTTGGAAATACTTCATTTCCTGCTCTAATTTACTTCTATAAATTGTCATATTTTCAGATCTTGGACTTGAAGGGTGCATTGAGCACGTTTGGCGGGACACCATTGTATATCTTGACAATAGCGATCCCATTCTGATTGATCGTGCCTACGGACGAGTTAGTCGACATTTGCTCCATGAAGAGCTGTTGAGGAGGTAAGACTAGCCAAAACCGTGTCTTCAATAATTGCTTTTATCATAATTTTCATCTTAGCCATGCCATTTGTTGTTGAATTGGGGGTCCTTTACAGATGTATAATCAATATTAATTTCCTCTAGGTGTGTCGAGTCAGGTGTTTCATATCTGAGCTCAAAAGTGGAAAGGATTACTGAAGCAACTGATGGTCATAGTCTTGTAGCTTGTGAACATGACATTGTTGTTCCATGCAGGTAAATTTTGATGTCCTTAATTTGTAGTCCTTGCTTATAGTAAGTAAACTGTGAGTTTTAACTTTATTATTACATTTGCACCCAATTTCGAGTTTTTGATATAATATTATAGGCTTGCTACTGTTGCATCTGGAGCTGCTTCGGGAAAACTCTTGCAGTATGAGGTGGGAGGTCCAAGGGTTTCTGTGCAAACAGCGTATGGTGTGGAAGTTGAGGTATGAATGAGATATACTATTTTAGAAGTTATGCAAAGTTCAAAGCTTATCTGAGTATGCTTTGTATATCTAATAGGACTAGGAGCTGGTTTTATTTAACCCTGTTTTTTTCCTTTTCCTCCTTTACTTGGGAGTCAATGATTTTCTTCCTTCAATATTTTAATGTAAGAGGGTAGTCTAGGACCGGTTGTCCTCATGCCTACCTATGTTTGAACAAAAGGGAAAAGAAAGGTTCATGTGTGTAAACCCTTTTCTGTTACATTGATAATTTCAACCCTAATCCTGAACTGGATTTTAGATATTGCTCCATTATTCCCTTCTCAACAACTGGTGAAGGATTCTGTAAATTTTACAGAGCTGCATTGGCATTCCTTTTTGACATTATCACTTTGGTTCCCAATTCCAGGTGGAAAACAATCCATATGATCCTAGCCTAATGGTTTTCATGGATTACAGAGACTACATTAAACAAAAAGTTCCATGTTTAGAAGCTGAATATCCAACTTTTCTTTACGCAATGCCCATGTCATCAACAAGAGTTTTCTTCGAGGTTTGTTCAATTTAATTTGTTTTGGTTATTAGCCATTTTATTTGCAACAACCATATGCAAAGTTTTAAGAGATGGTAAACTGCAGGAAACTTGTTTGGCCTCAAAAGATGCGATACCTTTTGACTTGTTAAAGAAAAAACTCTTGTCAAGGTTAGAGACAATGGGAATCCGAGTCTTAAAAACCTATGAAGAGGTAATCCTCACAACCTATCTATGATGTCTTCTTGGAGCAGGTTTCCTTATCTTTGCTCCTAACTTACTTCCAAGACAGGTCTTTATGTGCATGCCATGTATAAATCAATTTTTTTCCATGCCCGGAAGGTGGTTGTCATTGTCATCTGATTTGCTTTTTATAGCGTTTTGTTGTCCTGATATCAATCAGAGGTTATCTGGTTTGATTCCGCCAATTTTGGAATTTTTAGGCATAATAGTTCCTAGGTTGCTTATGCCTAGGCATATGATTTAATTATTGGTATTGCCATTACCAGATGATATACACTCTTTTCATACATAATGCCAAAGCCCCCACAAACATGCAGTACTATTAGAGTTTTTTTTCACTATTTATGCATGCACTGGAAAGCATTCTGTGTTCTAGGGGACATGCTATTTCACGTATTAGTTGAATTATATTGACAATATTATCGTTCCGTGGGTGCTTAAAGGGTAAGTGAATAGTTTTTTGATATGTTATGCAGGAATGGTCTTATATTCCAGTTGGTGGTTCTTTGCCAAATACTGAGCAGAAAAACCTTGGGTTTGGGGCTGCTGCTAGCATGGTGCATCCAGCCACAGGTAAGAAAATCTGGGATAATCTCTGTTTTCTGAAGTGATTTAAGCTTCGCTCCAATTCATTTCTTGCTTCATCAAACAGGCTATTCGGTGGTGAGATCATTGTCTGAGGCTCCAAATTATGCTTCTGTAATTGCAAATATATTGAAACAGGATCATTCCAAGGGCAAGCTTATTCTTGAAGGACGTAATGCAAATGTATCAATGCAAGGTATGGAACTGTGGACACACATACATTCCCAAACACCACTTCTTCCATTTCACCTAGCTTCCTTACAGATGGTAATATGATAGTTTCAGCAATCAAAATGCGACATTACAGATCACACTAATTTCTCGCATCTAATTTTTATTGAATTTTTCCATCTTATTGCGTGAATAATCACTTACAGCTCATTGTAATGAGTTTCTTCATTTGACAACTTTTCTTTTGAAAATTCCTCTACACCATGGATTTTAGCTTCCTTCTAGGATTATTTTGGAACAAATTCTCTGGTCCAGTTTCTTAAAATATTAATGAAGACAAGTTAGCTGATGTTGATAAACTTATGGTTGAAGATTAATTTATGCTGAATGCTTTTCTTTTTTCTCAGCTTGGAATACTCTTTGGCCACTAGAGAGAAAACGTCAAAGGGCATTCTTTCTCTTTGGACTAGCACTTATATTGCAGCTGGATATTGAAGGCATTAGAACATTTTTCCATACCTTCTTCCGCTTACCCAACTGGTATGATTAGTATACTCTTACATCTATTCCTACTATTTCTCTGTATATAATAATCATCAGCATTCTTTTAGTACCCGCTTACCCAATTGGTAGTTAGAACGCATTTTTATATAGGAGCTTGATACAAGTCAACAAAGATTCTTCTAATAATGTAAGGATTCAAGTCATATCATTGAAGGGTTTCTAATTGTTTAAGTGAAGAAACTAGGATATAAATATTTAGATAAAATGACTACATCTCATAATTTAATAAAGAGAGAAGCTTTGATTAATAACGTGATTAGCACATGAGCAGCATAATGCTCACATGAGAACTTTTTTTTTGGGGTAATGTACATGACATGTGTCGTTATTCATCTGGTGTGTAAGTTCACTTTTTATGCTAGAAATTGCTTGTTCATATCCTATCCCATTAATGAAGCAATTAGATGAGATTTGACCATGGGTCTCAATTGAACCAATTTTATTTAGCAAATTATTAACACTGATGCAATTTTGAATAAGCCTAATTACTTATTAGTAGGTAAGAAATTCTCAAATAACATGATAGCCAGAGATTTTAAGAGAAAATAGGGGAAGCACGGATGCCGTCTCTAATTGACTTTATGCATAAATTAATAGGGGTGAGCTAAATCTGCATATAGATAGTAGTAATAACTAATAGATGTGTTGTATTGCAGGATGTGGCAGGGATTTCTTGGCTCCTCTCTCTCCTCTGCTGATCTCATATTATTTGCCTTCTATATGTTTGTTATTGCACCAAATGATTTGAGAATGTGCCTTGTCAGGCATCTGCTTTCCGACCCAACCGGAGCAACTATGATAAGAACTTATCTGACAGTGTAGTCCTATCTTTTTTATGAATTTTTCCCCCGTTTAGTTACGATCACTATACACAAAGTTGATCCATGTTGAAAATCTAGGTATTTGTACATATATAAATTTTGTATATTTTATCTGTTAGTTTAAAGGTGATGAAGACACTGTTGTTCTGATTACGTACCTTGTGTAAGGGTTCATCATATCTATGGCATCTTTTTCTTAGCGAACTTGATTTGCTATGGATTAGTGCATATCCTGCATTTTACCTTCAGCATAACTTTCTTTCTTATAATTATCCTTACGCAGATCACTGTGTCTTGCCTGTATAAATGTTGATGATTTTGGAACACGAACTTCAAAGGTTCACGCTGAAGGTTTGATAATTTCTGTGTCTACATCATGTTCTTGAAATCGTACTCACTCTTTCTCTTGCATCTGTCGAAGGTCTAGATTTGCTCTTCTACCCTCTGTGTTCTGCAAGAGCGAAGTTAACTAGAATGACGTGTCTATAGAAATACTTCTTTCCTTCTCATAAAAGTACATAAGTACGGACACTAAGCTTCATCTGATGACTGCAGTCTGCAGCCACTTGCAACTTATATGCCCGATCCTCATAGACAAACAATTTTAGAATCTTCTAAAGCGTGCGAAGAATGGGCTGTCGGTCCCTCGAAAATATTTTTTTCAAAATTGGGAACTTTACGATGAACAAATTCATGATACCGTAAATCAACCGGTTCATATATTTTCTAGCAGCCATCTTCGACGTCCTTCAATGGCGTTGTAATCAGGTCAACTGTTTTTCTTTCATATGAATATTCTTAAATGATTGTCCAAAATTTCATAGCCATATTTTGTACTTCATCTGGAACAAGCATTTAATACACCAATAAGATCAATTCATCGTCAATTTCTGGCAAAACATTGTCACTCTAGACGGTTATACTACTCTTCTATTTGAAGATGAAGACAAGTTTGGAACCAGATCACTATCACCTTGGAGAAATCAGTTTCATGACAATACATGCCGATTTACCATGAAAATGGTTTTCCCTTTTTTCCTTTATTTTCATTCCGTCACATTTTTAAAATCTTAAACATCTAAAGCTGAACTATCTGGAGTTGATTTGTGACAGATCAGGCAGAAGAATGGGTGAAGAATGGGCATCGTTTACAGCTTGTGCAATTCTGTTGCTACTAGCTTAAGCTATGTTGTTAATGAGGATCAAAGAATCAACTCCCTCTCAACATCACTAAAGTCTAAATGAATTGAAGGACAAAAGGGATGAGTTGAAGAGACAGGTTGATCGAACTGAGCTGGAGGGAGTAACCTGCACAAGCTGGCTAAAAGAGTTGGAAGTTATCGAAACTGAATCAAGCTCCATCATTGAAGATCTTGGATACAGATGTGGGGCTGCAATGCTTGCTGTTCAACATACATGCTCAGCAAGAAAGCTTCAAAGCTGCTAAGAAGAACTAATGAACTGATTGAAAAAGGAGCTTTTGATTTTATTCAGAATGTCAAGGGAAAAGGATATTTTTTATTCAGAATCAATTCGACCATATGCTGAAACCATTGTGAGAAAATGCGGAGGCTTGACGCTTGCTTTGATCTCAATTGGAAAGGCCAATAAAGAGACTGAGGAGGAATGGAAGTATGCAATTGAGGTATTGAATAGGTCTCCTTCTGAACTTCGAGGCATCGAAGATGTATTTGCTCTTCTAAAATTCAGCTATGACAATCTGGATACTGATGCGTTGAGGTTATGCTTTTTATTGTTGAGAAGTAAGAAGTAATTTGAAATTTTCACTATCTACATTTTTTGAGTCAAAAGTCCTTTTATATTTACTAGACTTTGAAACTAAGTAGATTTTAAAACTTGGTGTGACTCTAGATTTCTCGGTCTAGAATTATCTATCGGTGTCTTTAAATAAAGTCCTGTTATTCTTCGATCGTAAATCCCTCTCTTTTCTCATATTGCTTTTACTATTTCCAGCAAATTTGGTATCACAGTTGAGTAGGATCCAGCCTTTTTTTTTTTTTTTCCTCCAAATGACATAATTATTCAGCACCACAACTTTTACATATACAGCGACTCGCATTTTCATTTTTTATGGAAAACATTAACAATTTTTGTCTTGCAAGATTTTTGGAGTTTGGTGGATGGAGGTTACGAGAGTGTTCTCAAACATGAACAATCTTATTCCGGATGAAGCAAACGAGAAAGAGTACAAGGAAAATGTGAAGAAAAATACTACCGTATTGAGAATGATCCGACAAGGAGTAAGCAAATGCATCTACTCGAATCTTTTCAATTAAAAGAGCAAAAGATGCATAAGAGATCTTGAAGAATGAATTCAAAGGCTTACGGAAAGTTATCTCCATAATGTAACATAATTTGTGGAGAGATTGTAAAGAGGGTGAACTTGTTAAAGATTTCTCTTTAAGAGCTACAAAAATCATCAACCAGATAAAGAGTTGTGGTGAAACAATTCATAAGAAGAAAGTAATTGAGAAAATCCTTATAAGTTTGCCGTAGAAATTTGAGCATATAGTTGTTGTCATTGAGGAGACAAAAGACCTATTAAGACTTACAATTCATAAATTGATAGGCTCTATCTCTTGAACCACATGAGAAAAGAGTGAACATGTACAACAAGTAACGGTTAGAATAAGCTTTTCAAGCCAAAATTAATTTGTCTAAAAAGAAAACAATAAGATTTTAGCAAGAGCAAAAATAAGGTTTATTTTAGAGAAAAAGAATCCTGTGGTAAAGAACGTGGAGGTCGAATCAAAGTAGAGGCAAAGACAAAGGAAAAAACAAAGGAAGATTAGAATTCCAACTACAACAAAGATTTGACAACGACTCTTCTTATTGTAGTATTTGAAAACACTATAAAAAATCTAGCAAATAGCGATGGATTTTTTCGTCACTAAATGTTAAAAATTTGTCAATATATAAAATTAGCAACATATTATAGACAATATGGATTTCGTCACTAATACGGTGGTCGCTATTTTCTTAGCGATCAAAATTTTTTTCTATCACCGATTAGCGATGGATTTTTCGTCGCTAATTTATTGAATTTCTCTATCTAAATCAATCTAAACAATTATACGTAGGGTCTTATATCCGTTGCAATTACGTCGCTATTTTCACTCACATTTGTCCCTAAATAGCAACGGAACTAGTGTCGCTAAATTATAGTCACTAAGATTCTTGTAATTACGTCGCTATTTAGAGACCATATATGTCTCCTCCATTAGATATCCTTACAATTTTGTCGCCAAATCCGTCACTAAATGAAGGGTTTTTTTTTAAAAAAAAAAAACAATAGTTGTTTAAGCGCATTAATATTTATCTAACATCTTTTGATCAACGAATAATGCAAATGTATATCATATGGACTTTTATCTAATTCTATTTAATAAATAAACATAAACAATAAGAACTAATAAACGGACTTCTTTTATTATTAATAAAATAAATAATTCAATGTTACAATAAGTCAAACCTATTTAACCATTATTAGATCTTGGATACTTACACTAACAATCTCCCACTTGCATTAGAGCTAACTAGCCATGTCCTTTATTCCCGGTGATCAAGTAAGGGTCTCATGTGTTAGCTATGACGAAGGATTAGTCAAGGGGTCGGCTATGTTGTCGCCGGTATGAACCTTTTCTACCCTTATATTACTACGACTCATAATCTCTCTAACACATGATAGCGTCATAGTACATGTTAAGGCTTTTGATAAGATCTTGATTCCTTAGCTTATGTTATGACTCTATTGTTATCATAGTACAATACAATTGGATCAACAATGCTAATAACCTTTGTCGTTGGCCATCAAGCCATGTGACTTTAGAAAAAAATATTTCTTTGATTCTTCCATACCAAACCTTTTAGTATCATTTCAATATATCTACTTTAAGAGACCCTTCATATTCTAAGTGATCTATCTTCATATATTTAGACTCTTAGAATTTAGGTCCGCTCTCCTATGTTATATATGGAGAAATTCTTGAATACCTAATCTTTTATAGATTGCAACATGATAATGTTATAGTCGAAAAGTAGTTTGTTTATTTTTCATATAGAATAACCATGACTAGTAGGCTTCCACTAACATTTTGTATACATAAGGTTCACCTTTGTTTTGTAAAAAAATCAAACTCTTTAATTGTTTCATCAAAATATCGAATCTAGTTCCTAGAGGCATGCTTAAGTCCAAAATGGACCTTTGCATTTTGCAAATCTTATTTGTATATTCTTTAGAACTATTAGCGTGTGTCATCTACACATCTTTTTCGTTTGTCATTTCTAAAAGTCAATGTCTAACATTGTCATTTTATAAGTGTTAACTTTGTCATCCTCTTTAGGGTACACCTCACTATGTGTTGAGATAAGAAAATCATATCTTTTATCTTTTGATGAACTCATTTTAAACTTATGAAATTCTTGTGTATTTATTTATGGGGTAGTTACAACACTTTGTAACCTATCTACTTAGGATACCACTAGTGGTGTGTTAATTTTTGAATCTACTCGAATCTTATTGAATTCTAATTTCCTCTCATTATTTCTAGAATCCATAAATTCCTTTCTAAAGAATATAGCATGCCTAGTCATGAACAACACTTTGTTCTAGTAGTAGGCCAATGAAGTCTATTCATTTCCTTTTGGATATTTCATAAATTTGCACTTTATTGCTTTAGACTTTTACTTGTCTTCATCAAATAATTTGACATATGTTATATAGCCTTGAATCTTAAGAAAAGATAAATTCATTTTCTTTTTTTTCATATCTCATATGAAGTCTAATCAAATAGACTTAATTGATACCTTATTCAAGGTAAAAGTTGTGGTAAAAAGTGTCTATCTAAAAATAAAATGGAGATATTAATTCAACTCATTATGAACCAAAACATATCTAACATGTGATGTCCATTGATAGAGAATCTCATTCTCTTCTAGATGATCTAAAAATTTAGTGCTTAAGTATTTATCACCTCGATCTAATTGAAATACTTTAATATGTTTACTAGTTCATTACTTCACTTTAAGTCCGACTTTTTTTGAACTTTTTAAATGTTTTAGACTTGTATCTTATAACCAAAACATGATCTACTATCAGTAAAAGTGATGAAATAATCATGTTCTTCATTTACATGGGTGAACATGGGCCTAAATACATCTCTTTGTGTAAGGTCTAACTAATTAGTAGCACTTTCTCCTTTTTCACTAAAAAGGGATTCATGTATCTTTACCAACTAAACAAAATTCATTAGACATAATCAAATGATTCTTTGTATCCATTTATAAGTAGTTTAGATATTAAATTCTCGTTTATATGATTAAGTTGTAAATGCCTCAAATGTATTTCATTTAGATTATTGGAGTCTTTAGGCATTTATGTTACATACATGGGAGTTCCATTATTTTCAAAACATACAATTATTATCAATCAAAATATTTTCATATAAAATCTCATGTTTAAAGAGAATAACCATTATTCTTAAACAAAATGAAAAACTTGTTCGAAACAAGAAAATGGAAATAATATCCTCAATTTATACTAGGAATAATAATGATTATAATCATTGAGTTTTAACACAAATCTACATGGTAATGCTAGCTCATAAATGCCTATAACTAATTATCTAACTCTTGATCCATTGCGGTCGTGTAAGTTATACTCCCTTGAAGCTATCTTCCTTCTTTTTTAAGCTTCGCATATTTTGAAAACGTGAGCACCACATATACTATCGCATACATATGAGGTGGAATAAGAAACAAAAAAATCAATTTTAATAACATAAATACCCGAGATGATTGTATAACTTTTCTTATTCACCTCTTCTAGGCACTCCTCGTACTGCGATTCCAATGCCTTTTCTTGTTGCAATGAAAGTAAACCACATCCTTTGGACTATTCGACTTGAGCTTTTTCAACTCTCTAGTAGGTGCATTTGAAGACTTCTTCTTCTTTTGCTAGGATTTTTCTTGCCCTTCACCATGCCTTTTCCCTTATTAATAAGAAGTACAAAAATAATTTCAAATCATATCATTAGGAAGCCACCGGCAACTTTATTCACACAAGTAAGAAGTCACCGTTGATTTTAGATCACACCATTAGAAAGTCACCAACGACTTCGTCCACACAAGTGAAAAGTCATCATCAACTTCAATTCATAAAGATATTCAACACAAATGCTACATTAACCTTTAAAGTTAACCCTAATAAATTTATTACATTCACATACATCATAATTAATTGATCGTAAATATGTTGTTAACTTATGAAATTAACTCCGATCAACCAAGCACATAGACACATCACATCATAAAGGCTAAATTGCACAAACAAGCATGTCATGAACAACAAATATGACATGAACATCTTATTCAAATAAAACCACATTACAACGAGCAAAATCATTCTTAAATACACACACTAAGACCAATATTTTTCTAAGATAAACTATTAAAATTAAAGCCCAAAATCATCCTCTCATCTCTAGAGCATTGAACATCAACTTTATTACTTCTCAAAATACTTGGAATCTCGAACCCTTTCGGGTCGGATACACAATGGTATATCTAAATATACTTCAAATATCTCAAACACATTTAAATTTATATTTACATATATCATTCATCCGAAAATAATAAACACATACATAATTTATATTATTTTTATTTAAAATAATAAATGGCTACAATCGAGTTCCAAAGTTTACCCAAACGACCACTAGAAAATATGAAATTACTAAAAAGCCTATTCGGAGT